ACATTAAGTAGACGTTTTTTTTTTTTTTTGGGCATTCTTGGAATGTTACCAATAATGTTGTCAATATAAAAAAAAAAAGTTGAAAGAACGTTGCAACATCACGCTAAGCTTAACATAATGTTCCACTAAAACAGGACATGTTCACGCTTTTAGAACATTTCAACAAAACCCATTACTACCACAACAGAATACCTGGAAAACGTTTTTCCTTCTTTTATTTTCTTTTTCTTTTTTTCAACCTATCTGAGTGAGCTGATAATAATGAACTGATAATAATAAAGATCACATTATAACCTAAAGCTAATAAAAACTGGCCAAAATATATTGAAAGAGACAAACGTGAAAATAATGTCAAATATAGTAAAATAATGCAATAGTCATTAACTACATATCAGAAAATGCAATTTATGCGTGAGAAAGCCTATAAAATAATTTGTAACTTTTTATTTAGAAAAACATTAATGTAACAACATTTTCTCTGTACATTATATAATTCGAAATTATTACTAGCTAAACCTAAAGTTTTTTGTTTGTTTTCTTATTATAGTAAAACAGTAGCTATTGGAGGCCTATATATATATATATATATATATATATTTATTTTTTTTACGATATAAAGGCAACTTTAACTATAAGGTTTTTGCTTTCACATTTTATAATACGCTAAAATAGGCTATACGTTTTATTTGTTTTGTATGTTTGGTTTCTTATTATAGTACAATTAGGGCTACAGTATTTGATTGCAAATGTTATTTTTTCCATATAGTAAGGTAACTTACTTTACTAGGCTATATTTTACTACATTTTACCATATATAGTAACGTTTTTAATTTCGTATTTTATAGCCTATCAAACTAGTAACAATAGCCTATATGCAGTGTGTTTATTTTATGCTTAACATAAAATATGTTGTTAATATTTTATAAGCAAACCTTGTGCTTGCATGTTCAAATGCGCCATAAAATTACTGTATTGTCACGCATAAAACGTAAGCCCACCTTCCCGTTGTTGTGCTCGTAACCACATTCCTTTTCAGTCTGATCCGTGATTTTGACACCCGGACGCCCGTCGTCTCTCTCACCCGGGGAGCTGGTGAAGGTCCCGCCGCTGATCTCATAGGCTTCAAAATCCTCATCCACGATGCGTTCCCTGCTACTGCTGCGTGAGCTCCTGTTCTCCTTCCTCCCTACGGCGTACTGGTCAAAAGCGATAGTCTTGCTATCATACGCGCCCTCGACGGAGCTGAACATTCCGTGAGACTTGTGACGCTGGCTGGGTCCAGTCGAGATGGGTTTAGCCAGGTACACAGGGAGCTCATCCTCCCGGTTCCACTGTCGCCTACAGTCCGACATCACTCACAGGACGGAAACGATGCTCTAATAGCCTACAATGATGAAGCGAGATGCCAGTGCAGAATCCAGGTCAGCCTTGTTTGCCTGGGGATGCGAAGGTCGCAGCTTGCAGACTGATAATACGAATGATGATGCTGCGATCTACTTTCCAGACAGGAGGGCAGTGATATAATAACGCGCTTTATTATGAGCTAGTCCGAATAATATTGCATCCTCAAATCCAGTAAACTCTGAATACTGGTAAAAGCAAATTTAGTCACTTGTTTTAATTTAGGCCTATATCAAATGTTTTTTTTCTGTTTACTTTGTCGAGTTGTAGATTTGGGCAATGCAGTGACTGCCATCCTCCATCTGAAAGTGCGTGCAAGATGCGCAAAAACACTGCAGTCATCTGCACCGACTCGCATAAAACTATCGGTCTGGGTAAACGCATGGAACTTAGTGGTGTGTTTGAGTCGTGAACGAATCAGTATTTTGAACAAATCTTTCAAATGAAGGAATCGTTCTAATTCATTTACACGCACTGACTTACAGTATGGGAAAGAACAGAATCATCTCATTTGTGAACGAAATGAACGAATCATCTTGGGGCGACAGATTTTATTTGTCTATAAATACTGTATCACAGTTAATAGATAGATAGATAGATAGATAGAAATACATAAATGAATGAATGAATAAAGTTGAAATTTGTGAGATGCTTTTTAAGCACTCTTTTCGAGTCTCGTACAAAGATTTGTTTCGATATGAACAACTGTTTTTAACGACAAGCTCGAGCATTTAAAGCGGCAGACAACATAACTATGAAGTTATCATTCCGTTGGCATGGAGATTAATATAGTTATCGTTATAATGATCGTTTTTGATGTTAACGGGTCTTGGAGGCAGAAACGGCCACTTATGGGATCAGATTCCCGCCAAATGTATTGCAGTCACGGATAAAAAAAATAACAAGTGTGAAACCAAAATGTAAAAACGCAAGTAAAATTATATTGCACAAAATTAAAAAATGAAAGCAACGTTTTCAGAATAGCAAACAATGGTCACGGATCAAAAAATAATAAGTGTAAATAAAAAATGTAATAACTTATTAAAAAAATAATAAGCATGAATCGAAACTTTAAACACATTTAAAATCATATTGCACAAAACTGAAATATTAATGCAAAATTATCCGAATTGCACACAAAATCATGCTTTCCTTGGTTATATTTCTCAGTTTTTTTGTGCTCTCAGACATTTTCTGCACATATTTTTATTTTTTGTATGCTTATGCTGTTTTTCCCTTCACTCTTGTTTTCACGTTCTGCGCTTCTTCTTCCAAACGTTGCGGTTAGAGTTTCATGTAAATCAGGGTGGGCTTAAGCCATAACAAGGTCCATCATTGGTCCACTAGTTCTAGATTGACAGCTCCTCCTCTAGCCAATCAGACGAAGAGGGGCGGTGACGTCACTCCAATGCACCTCATTACTGCCAATGTTCAGTGTTCTGTTCACTTTTAAAGTTGAAAATGGATAACTGTCAGCTGGGAAACATCTTTCCATACAGGACACCGTTATATGTGATTGTCTGTCACTGCTGTACGCCTACCTGGTGATCCGTTAATGTTAAATGAGCCGTCCCAGCGACCTGTCAAGGTTATATTCACCTGTATTTATTTGCCTACGGTCACATCTCGAAAGGGAGCAGCCACTATATGCACCGGCATCGCAAAGTCACTGATGTGCCTGGCTCACCTTTACCTGGCTGATTATAAGTCTTGTTATGGTTATTACTGTTAGGAGAGGATAATATGAGTAAGAGCAGGGGTTTTCAAACTGGGGTTCGTGTCGTGACCAGTCATTGTAAAACAATTTGCTATACTGTATTTTCCGGACTACACGTTGCGTTTTTTATCTTCTGAACATGCTATGATTTATATTCCAAAGTGACTTATATAATGCATTTAATGTCAAATAAGCAAAACGTAAACAGGTAAAAGCGGGCATTTCAAGGTTTCTATAAATATATTTCTCATTCTGTGTGTCAAGTAGTGTTAGACAGTATCGCTGAGTTTTTCTTCATTTCAGTCTTCTTTCAGGAAGAGGTTCACATGGACGGCAAGTGCATTTTGTATGTTTTCTTTATTTTACAAAAGTACGTTTCACTGTTATTTTGAAGGTACACATATAAAAAATAGATCGTTTTGAATGATGTCTTGCTCTTATCTATCACATCTTTCCGTTGATGTGAAGAACCCAAGTGTTTGCGCCGGCGCCTCCCGTGCGCACACAACATAAACAACAACAACATTGCAATCTTTACATCACAGCCTCTTCATCATCAAAGTAAATGAGACAACTAAACATACAAAAGGTATTGGTGACTCAATTTAGCTTGTCTTTTGTACAATATGTAGGTTTTGCCGGTCAGCACAAGCATCGCCATGCCGTGGTGTTTTCCAAACACATTTTTTGCAAATGTGAAGTATGTTGATTAAGTATTCAGATACAAGAGAAATACAAAGCCTTCTTTACAAAAATAAATAGGCTAATAGTTTATCAACCAAATGTTACACTGCGTCTAATGATTCACTCATGGAAATGAGAGGTATGTGAGCCCAGCAGGAGGTACAGTTTTTAGTTTCGTTTTAAATATGTTATAGGCTTAGCATTTAAAATAAATGTTGTTTGTAAAGAATGGCACTATAATTTATTTTATGACATACAGTTAAGCAAAACATGAGGAAGAGTCTTTTTCCTAATATCAGGACCATTGCAAATGTTTATTGAACTGAATCAATATAACAGGAAATATATTTTTGAGTGAGTTTACTATTAATAGTAACTATTAATTGTAACTATTTTCTCATTTTGTTCTATTTCGACAAAGAGTCCAAACAAAGCCACAGCAGAACAGTGTCCTCTACAAGCAAAACAGCAGCCTTTCGTATTGAATGACTCACTTTATTCCTCACTGAATGAATCAGCCATTTGAATGAATGATTTAATGTCTTACTCTAAAGATAGTAACTTACCGCCACCTACTGGCTGTTTTACTTTCATATTGTTGTTATGTTCAAACTTTATATATTTGAAACATTAATATGATAGTGTTAGGCAATTATATATGTAGCTATGTAAATAAACACAATATGCAAATAAATCATTGTGTATATCCGAATTGCACACAAAATCATGCTTTCCTTGGTTATATTTCTGTTTTTTTGTGCTCTCAGACATTTTCTGCACATATTTTTATTTTTTGTATGCTAATCTCTTGAGTCTGTCAAAACATATTGTTTATATTGTGTACACACATTTATTTGGTATATGTAGTAGGTCATTAAAATGTATACAAAAATACAGTTAACATGTCAAAACCATGTTATGAATTTGATTATTTATATAGGTTAATTAAATGTGTAAGAAATGTCTACAGGGAGCACCAGTTTTTCTTCACTTATTCTCATTTATGTGTTCTTTTTGTGATCTAATTATGTGTTCTTTCAAAATTGGTTAACCTATCAACTTCATAACATGGTTTTGACATCTAAACTGTACTACATACACCACGCAAATTTATAGAGTATAGCCTACAGTGCATATATACCTTACAGTGAAAAACGTTATTTCTAACGTAAACACTTACTCTCATTATACATATTTATGCTTATGTCTATGCACTTTATGTTTGTTATCTTTTAGGTGAGATGAACGCTAGTACCAACCCACCACCATCTCCTGAGACTCTCAAGGAGAATAGTGCAGCTCACAAACGTCTCAACCCTCCTGTTCCATTAACCAAATCCAATCCAGGCACTGAGACGGCTGGTCCGCCTCTCTCCAGTTCTGGCAGCCCAGACCTACCACCTAAATCCACCCCTTCTACAACTCAAGATACTAAATTAAAACAAACTAATGTTAAAACCTCACACTTTCCAGCCAGACCAACACCTACCTGAAAACCCAGCAACATCGAAACCTACACCTACATCATCACATATCTCTAAAACTACTCCAACTATGCCAGCTACATCATCGTCATCATGATTTATGATTTTATGAATATTATTTATGATTATACATTTCACACATTTTTTCAAAATGTTTTTTTGTACAAAGAAACATTTCCAAAATTGTACTATAGTTAAACAAGAAATTTAATTTACACTTTTTAACAAAACATTACTGACTGATTAGTAATTTTCAAACCATTAGTAATTAGGTATTTTTCAAATTCTTGCTTATGCTATCAAGACTATGACAATTAATTCTTGCAATTTCGACAAAACCAAGAGATGGTTATTCATTCATCTATGCTAGCCAGCTAGATAATGTTATCTAGCAGAAGCCAACATCACAACCAAATGTCACAGAAAACCAGTTTGCAAAGCATAAAAATGTATGTGCATGATCAAAACTTAACAAGTTTCCTCAACTAAATCATAAAGTTAGTATTATATATTTTGATACTGGTGTTTTAATGACTAACCAGACCTCTTTTTTGAAATTTCTAGTATGGCACACGTGAGGGGATTTAAAGGGACGTACTGCTTCCTGGTGCCGTACCTGGTCTGCTTTGTGTGGTGCGAGTTCTCTATGGTTCTGCTGCGGAACTCCACCACCATTGGCCTTATCCGCACTTGTGTGGCTTATTTCCTCTTCCTGTTCACCTTACCTGTCTTGGCTATGGGTCTGATAGCGATGCTGCCGATTCAGATGGTTAAGTGGTTTCTGGAGTTGGAACTGACTAAAATGCTGGTGATGTTGGCAGTGTGCGCCGTCCCTGTTGATCCTGCGGCTTTGGACTCGATTCAGCCTTTCCATTCTTAATGTCTTCCGTTCCATAACCCAGAGGTCCAGTGAAACTGATCCTCCTGTGCATCACTACAGTGATTTTACTCTGCGGTGTCTATGTCTATAATGCTGAAGGTCTACTGATTAGTAATTTTCAAACCATTAGTAATTAGGTATTTTTCAAATTCTTGCTTATGCTATCAAGACTATGACAATTAATTCTTGCAATTTCGACAAAACCAAGAGATGGTTATTCATCTATGCTAGCCAGCTAGATAATGTTATCTAGCAGAAGCCAACATCACAACCAAATGTCACAGAAAACCAGTTTGCAAAGCATAAAAATGTATGTGCATGATCAAAACTTAAGTTTCCTCAACTAAATCATAAAGTTAGTATTATATATTTTGATACTGGTGTTTTAATCGTATTCATGTAGCTGAGAAGGAAAACGGAGCTCAGTCTGTTATAAACTTGCTACCGGTGTTTATGGGAGACTGGTTGCGGTGTCTCTACGGTGAGGTTTATCCAATGTGTGAACCGCAGAATAATATGTCTCCAGTTGTGAATGGCACAGGAGTCGTGCCTGTCAACGCCACAATGCTGTTCCTCCAGCAGGAAGAGGAGGAGCTCTGTCGGATAAAGGCCTTTGCTAAAC